TATATATACAGTATATACATATATTTATGTATATACATACATAAATATACATATTTATGTACATTTGTATATATTTATGAGAAGTATGTGCAGGAGGATTGTAGGAGTGACAAGGCCAATATATAACCGGTGATTTCAGTACAGAGGATATAACTTAATTTGAAGAAAATATCAGGCCTATTTTTATCACAATAGGTTTTCATTCTCTTCTTCTCTTAATATCAATAACAACATTTTTTTTTATAGAACTGTATTAACAAACACACAAGGATGGTCTTACACTAACATGCATCGTTCTATCATAAAGCAACAAAGAATACAATTCAGTTTAATTATTTTTTTTATGTAAGTATCTTCGGATCAATGAACGATACTAAATATATTTACTTATGTAGTTGATTGACATGCGTAGTAATATACTATGAGCCGATGATCAGTATGCTTCGCAGTAATTTGCATTCGCAATACGCATTGTATCTACAGCAGAACTTTGGATATATTATTCCAAAGAGCTTGCAAGATATGCACATAAGTTTGAAATCAAAATCTTGGACTTAATTGGCACGCTATCTTATATCATTATTTAGACTACAAGTAAATTTACATTGGTTTTTAAGATTCGAGAATATCGCATACTTATATTAGTAATCATACTGATGACGTACTGTAATTGCACATTCGATGTAAACAATACCAGTTTCATTATGTGTACATACGTTTCGCATCAAACAGTAATTGATCGTAATGATTGCGAGTTTATACGCTTTTATCGTTCACATGTTAATGCAAAAATATCTATTTCATCCTATCGACATACATACACATGTTTACTCTTTATTTTATATATATATATATATATATATATATATACATATATATGTTCACAAAAACATATATATGTTCATATATATATATATATATATATATATATATACATTGATTAAAATGAATTAGTACTATCAAAAGAAAAAAAAACAACAGTGGTGGTGAAAGCTTGAGTAATGAAATGTCATCCTGAAAGAGTCTAATAGGCCTATTATCTGCTTACGAAAAAACAAATTAGGCCTTTGTATCTCCCCATTAAATGAGAGATAAACCGTCTATGCAACCCACTCGCCAGCAAGGTAGGGTTGTGTGGATTCCTTTCTAGAACATAACCCAATTAGTAGTTTGAACTGGGCATGCCCGTGTCCAGGTCAATCGACAAACCATGGGGGAAAGTATACACACAACATAGGTTTATGTCGACTGATGTCGACTGTCCTTTGATAAACGGGCATGCCCTACGAATTGGCTTATTTTTGTTAAGTTACGCACCAATATCTCTTGAAGTTATGTCCACACTATCAACGCTATATGGGACAAACACCTGTTATTTGCCCCACATATAGGTGTGATATGACATCATCGTGACCATATATGGGCATATTACTGATATTTTGTCACATTTAACTTGATAATGTGGAAAAGTCTAAGCATCTATAACAATTGAAAGATGGTTTCACCGTATTATGTGCTTTCCACAATGTGCGATGGATACCGTACAACCTCAAATAAAAGCTCCGGTCTGCTTCTTCTATTTTAGGACCCGATGGGCTTCTTTTCGAGAATGCTATTGCAAACTAAAGAGGGGGATTCGTCTCGAGATTTAGCCCATGGAACTTTTATTCGAGGATTTAAAAGGTAGCCTATATTGTACTGCCTGCACTCTGTACTATCATTGATGACCACAAAGTTATTGTTTATTGGCCGATAAATACGTTTTAGTTAAAATTCGTCATCGCAAATCAAATATTTCATTTTTCTTTTTTTAAATATTGTTTGTACGAATATAACTACTCGGCAATACGTTATAGC